ATTTTCTTCGAACCTCCTGCCGTCTTTGAATATCTAGCACAGTATAAGAATTTGTCTACAATCTGCTTCCATTCACCAAAACCAAGTACTGTTTCTGGTCTGGTAGAGTTCATTGACGTATAAATAGAGCCTATAGGATATAATGTTTGAAGTATTTCCGTCTTTAATGTTTGAAGCTCTGTTTTGTCTGCTTTCTTCTCATATAAATCTTGAGCAGTGAATTTAACGTTATTTTCATCCTTCATGACATAAACATCTTTACATCTAATGTTTCTCATCGTCGTTATGTCGTCATCCGATGTTAAACCTTGTGGAAAGTTAGGAGGTTTCCAATATAATACATCCCCATCAGGTTCTTCAACCGTTCCTTCAATACTTTCTATACCAACAGTTGTAAAACTTGTATGTGTATGGTTCTTGTCTGCTTTCTTCTCTAACTCATCGTTAACATATGTTTTATCCGCTTTAAGGTCTAAACATCCTGAAACCCATCCTGTATCGGCTTTACTTTTTAAAATCTTCGATGTCCATTCATGGTACCAGTCAACCCTTTCTTTCATTTCGTTATCTTTTTCATCCACATATTCCTTATCTGCTTTCTTCTCTAACTTACTAGCCACACATGCTAACTCATCGTTAACATATGTTTTATCTGCTTTCTTTTCAAGGCTAACGTTTAAGTCTGTTATTTCAGATATAGAATGTGTATGTCCAACGTCACTTTTCCTGTTTAAGGTTTCTTGTAAGTTTGCAATATTTGCAATGGTATGTGTATGAGTCTTTTTAGAATATTCGTTTTCAGCTCTTGTCACTTCACTTGACATTTTATTGTCAACATATGTTTTGTCTGCTAGTTCAGGATGAGTATGTTCTTTTGTTGCATAAGCTTTGTTAGCTCTTTCTTCTTCTTTTGCTATTGCATCGTCTACATATGTTTTGTCAGCTTTGTTGTCAACATCTGCTTTCAAAAGAAGTTCAGATATAGGTTTCTCGTTTAAAGTTCCTTTTGTTGGATTTATACAAACAGTATGGTTCTTATTGTCTTGAAACAGAAACTCATCTGTCATTGGGTTTATTGTCAGTTTTAAATTTCCTTCTTTCAATGACTCAGATATCTTAGAATAGTTTGAAAAGTTTGTTGTGTTCTTATTTAGAGCTTGTATAATGAGTTGTCGGTTGTGTTGTATTTCTCTCATAGACGCTGTTTCATTTGACATTTTTATTCTAGATAAAATATGCTTTCAATAGAAAAAGAAAATTCAAGAGTTGCTACAACTAAACCATTAGATGAACTTTTTACGAATGTCGGTCAAAAGTTTGAGACAGAGACCGTAAAGCATGAAGGCTATCGTTTTGACTACCCGTTAAGATGGTTAAGAGACCCATCTGTCACAAAAGCTATTGGCTTTCGTAGAATGAAGTTCATTTCAGAAGCCATACATGGTTTCCCATTTACGGTCGGTTTTGAAGTTCGATACTATAACAAAGAAAAACGTATGTATGAGAAATTTGAACAGGGAAAACTTTTACAAGTTAGTTTGCTTGTAAACTTAGAAACAACTCTTCAAGCTTTTCAAAAAAAATAAACGACATCTATATCGAATATGCAAACCAGTATAACATTGACGAAGGAGAGTACCATCTCGATATTATATATGACAGGAAAAATGCAACTGTTAAAATCAATAGAATAGAAGACCTTGGAGAAAACGTTTATATTTCTACAAAATATAACAACTTGGCATGGTATAGATTTATGAGGATGTTAAATCAGCCTGCAGAATATCCAGTACACCCGGACTTTTATGAAGTCGAAAACCCTAATGGAACATATGAAAATGTTTTCGACTCAGATGCTATTATAGTTCATGCTTCATTTTCTGGTGCACAAAACTCTTTTTTATGCTTGGCAAATGACTTTTACGAAAAACCTACAAAGCTATATGAACCACCAAGTGGAAGTATTTCAGACTTTCAAGTATGGTTTACTACAGATGGAAGAAAGAGAATAGTTCCATTATACCATGCGTTTTACTTAGAACTTAGTTTCATATACAACTACTATCGAACGGTAAAAATATAATTTTTTAATACGGTTGAGGTGTTGGATTTGGTTGCCAACTAGACTGTGGTGCAGGTTCAGGCTGTTGTATGACAGGAGCTTGTTCTTCTGGTTCAGGGTCTTTAGGTATAATACCAACAAACTGACCTACCCTTTTACCAATATTTTTGACTCCGTTCCAAATTCCTCTTCCTACGGTTTTTATTCCATTCCATATACCTCTTCCAACATTTCGAAAGAAGTTTCCAATACTACTGAAGAAACCCATTTTACTATATGTAAAAATCTAATGTCCACCTAGTCTTACGTTTCCTGTTGAGTTCCATAGCATTCTTTAACTGGAGCTCATACATTCTGTTTCTCCTCTGGTAGAAAACATATTCTGGGTCAACTCCTGTGTTCGCGTCATCTGCATAAAGTTGTTTATATCCCACTTCAGGGTTTGTATAAAACTCTTTCCATCTCATATTTGCATACCATGGTGGCAAACCTAACGCAGCGTCATTTGACATGGCAGTTTGCATTTGTACATCTGTTGGCACTTGACCATAGTTTGCCATTGCAGTTTGTATTCTAACTTCATTTGGAATATTCTCTGGGTTTGGTTGTCCAGGTTGCTGTGCATTCGCTAAGTTCTGTGCGTCCATTTAATATTAGATAAAAATATCTCTTACGAGTACATATACTGGACATTTGCAGGCATTGGTTCATCTTCATATTCTCTGTACTTTTCTGCCACGTCAAAGAAATAAATGACACAATGGAAAAAACCTAAAACAAGTAGTCCTATTTCAAACCACATTTACTTACTAGTAAAATTTCTTTGTTATGACACTTTCTCCGGTTTATAGGACCTCTCTCATATTCTATCTTGTCATATCTAAACTCATAGTCATGTATGTCCTCTAACCATCTCATAACGGTTTCCAAACCACTTTTATCGGATGTAAAGTAAAAGCATGGATGGTTATGTAAAACGTCTAAAGTTTCTAAAGAGTCTCTCAAAGTCCAGTCTACTTAGGTCAGGTGAGTGGGGCCTCCAGGCACTTCGTGCCCTCTAGCCCTGAAGATGTTTAGTATAACTTTGTCCGGACAAGTAAGGGTCTATCGTCGCTACAGGAAAAGTTACAGGCGTTCCAAGGAAGTATACTTTGAGAAGCCTTCTTCTGGGTCGAAAACATTATATAATGTTTCGCTTTTCACAAATTATATATGTTTTCATGTTTTGTCACTTTTCTGTCACTTTTCAGGAAAAAAACATTTTTATTATATATAAATGAATTTTACAAAACCACCGTTACAAATCTACAAATGTTAGACCATTCGGTAGTTTCTTAAGTTCTCTCAATAGAATATCTTTACATCTACTCTTATTTCCAAAGAAGGGTAACGGTGGTTTTGTAAAATTCATTTATATATAATAAAAATGTTTTTTCCTGAAAAGTGACAGAAAAGTGACAAAACATGAAAACATATATAATTTGTGAAAAGCGAAACATTATATAATGTTTTCGACCCAGAAGAAGGCTTCTCAAAGTATACTTCCTTGGAACGCCTGTAACTTTTCCTGTAGCGACGATAGACCCTTACTTGTCCGGACAAAGTTATACTAAACATCTTCAGGGCTAGAGGGCACGAAGTGCCTGGAGGCCCCACTCACCTGACCTATATAATGCTTATCTATCATAAAACCATATGAAATATCAATTTTTGCTTTACGCCTAATTTTTGACGACAATTAGCAAAAAATGTTAAATGTTAACACTCAGTCCATTTGAATATGAAAAATAAAATTGACTTTGATTAAATGTTTTTATTTATCATGCAATTCTTCTTGCGACCAAAGATTTGAATAAAAGTTCAAAAAATAAGATAGCTTAAAAAATAATATACGGTAGTGTTTACTAATAGATGAATAGTATATAAATTCTATTAAAATGGATTTGATCCAAAAAAATATATAAAATTTGATCATAAATAAAATCGTTTTAAATTACTTCTTCATTTAAATTATAACAATTATTTTTGGTTTTATATTTTTTTGGATCAAATCCATTTTAATAGAATTTATATACTATTCATCTATTAGTAAACACTACCGTATATTATTTTTTAAGCTATCTTATTTTTTGAACTTTTATTCAAATCTTTGGTCGCAAGAAGAATTGCATGATAAATAAAAACATTTAATCAAAGTCAATTTTATTTTTCATATTCAAATGGACTGAGTGTTAACATTTAACATTTTTTGCTAATTGTCGTCAAAAATTAGGCGTAAAGCAAAAATTGATATTTCATATGGTTTTATGATAGATAAGCATTATATTCCACTCATTATATTCGTAAATTTTGAGGTTTATCCTTCGCTTTTAAGATCATTGAATTTGATTTTTATATAAAATAGTTATATATTAGAAAATAATATGAGTTTATGTGATATTATTTTTCAGAAGATTTTGTGTTCTTCTTCAAAATTTTACTTTTTTATTAAAAAGAATCTTTACAAAATATACATTTACTTTAATTAATATTTAAAAACGTGCTCTATCAAAAGTTCCAAAAATTCAATATTTTAGCTTTTCTGATGTGTCACTTTTGATGAATTTCTGTTTACAACAATTCCAATATGATGCCCATATTAATGGAGTAGTACCATTGTTTGTTTTAATTTCGATATCACAACCGGATTCAATAAGATATCGAACTAAATTGAAATTTCCCTTTTGACATGCGAAATGTAAGGATGTTAATTCCGTATAATTTTCATGTAATTCACCTAATCCTTTAATAAATGATTTAGGAATATATGTTGGATTTAATGAACTCATAAGTATTTCAATGATTTTGGAGATTTTTTCCAAATCGCATGAATCTTTCAACTCCTGATTGATAAATCTTGGATGGTTTAATTTCTCATTAAGCTTTTGAGTTTCTGAATTTAGTTCATTGATTTTATACTTATGTTGATCCAAGTCAAATGTAAGTTCAGCAATTTGATTATCCCTCTTTTTGATTTCTTTCTTTTTAAAAGTAATTTTTCTCTATTATTCTGAGCTAAACTGCTGTTTTCATCCCTAAGGTTGTTATTTTGGTTGTTGAGATTGTTATTTTCGCTCTGAAAATTGTTGTTTTCTTGAGAAATTTTTGATATTAGTGCTTCTTTATCGTTGATTTGTGTGATAAGTGAATTGATTTGATTTCGACTTTTTTGATTTTGAATCTTTTCATTATTAAGTTCAGATTGTAGTTTATCAATTGTTTTCGTTGATTCAATCAACTTGTTGTATTTTTCGATTAAGATTGGAATAATATTATTGAATAATTGAAATTTCATCTTTTTTTTTATTACAGTAAGAATTGATATTGCTTCTTTGAAATTGTTTAAAGAAACATTTGCATTAAGGAGATGAATATATGCTTTATCTTCGTTAACTGTTGAAGGGATGTGTCGAATAAGACTAATAAATTCATTTGGAGATAAATTTGTTAATTTCAAAATTTTTTCGATTTCTTCATCTCCAAATACAGTAAACAGTTTACAATCTTCAATAAATATCTCGTGATGTTCTGCGATGTACTCAAAATTATGAACAAGATCAATTACCTTATCACTCATAAAAAATTTTAAATTAAAGAAAAAAAAGTATTTATCTTTTAACTTACTTTTTTCATATGTGTAACTTTGTTTCCATTCATTATAATTAAGTCCATCATATAGTATATGCTGTATATGCATACATTGTCATAGAATTATTCATATAAAAACCATTATTAAATGAGTTACAAGTGATAAAATCACTCAATAAAATTTAAATTTTTATTCCTAAATGATATATGAAACATCAAATGATACGCTTATTCATATATATTATGTTTATAGTCATAAAACACATGCTAAATTTTAATGTAAATTTAAAAAAAGATGTTGTAATTACACAATTGATCTGATTTATAATATATTTGAATAACATTGTTATATTTTTCAAATAACAATAATAATATAAATTGCATATAAAATTTATTTAACTTTACTCGACCTTCATTTTTTGACATGGAAAAAAAATAGAACTTTTCTAATCCTGATAGTATGCTCATATTAAACATTAGTTAAGAAGGGAAAATTTCTATTTATTTTACAATTAAATAATAACAAGATATGGGATGTTCAAATTTCTGACAAATGGAGTGATACAGACCAAAATATTAATGTTTCAGAGTCAAAGACAATGTTATTCAATTGATAATATAATATTCTAAGGTACATTAACACCATTTATATTTTCAGGAAATAAAAGTTGGAGGAATTTTCTTGATTATGATAAGAGAACAATAAAAATCTCTTTTTAGGCAATATATCAAATATAGGGTGTCCAAAGGTGCGTTTAGCACAGCGCTCTATATGAGACTATTAAAGGAGATATATGCTGATTATAAATATATAATAAAAAATATGAATATATGTATATGATGAGTATGTTGTATTTTGGCGCCATGCCGGGATATAAAATGAATTTTGAGACAAGAGGCGGTTTCGCGGGAAATTTTGGCGGGATTTTTTTCATTTTTTTAATGAATCATAAAGAAAACATCCTCGCTCTTGCAAAAAAATGCAAAGACTGTAAAAAAATCTACGAGACATTGGTAAAATGCTTCGGTATGGATGCTCCTAGCTATTCCACTGTAACGTATCATGTTAGGATGTATCACTTCATGAACAAAAAGGCGCCCATCATAAAAATTGACAAAAAATCGCCGGATCAAAGAAAAATCAAAGCAATTCTTCAAGCGCTAGATGAAGACCCAAGAGCATCAGTCAGAAGGATAGAGGAGATGACAAAGATACCACGTACAACAGTCAGTTATTATCTGCACAATTATTTGAACTACAAACTAGCGTATACACGTTGGGTTCCGCACAACCTTAATTCAGTTCAAAAAAAATCTAGAGTCCAATCTTCGAAAGAGCTCCTCTCTATATTGGGTGCGTATCAATCCAAGAAGTTTCGCTTTTTAGTAACAGGGGACGAGTCTTGGTTTCAATATGCAACAGAAGCCAAAATCATGTGGATCCCGAAGGATGAAAATCCGCAAACATTCCCGAAGAAAAAAATTAACACACCAATGATGATGTTGTCGGTTTTTTGGGGCGTGAATGGCATCATCGCAATTGATATTCTTCAAAAACCTAATACGATGAATGCTCAGTATCTAATTGACAATGTTCTTACTCAAATTATCAATTCTGATGAGTTTGAGAAATCCAAACAACAAAAACAAAAGTTTGCAATTCATTTTGATAATTCAAGAGTTCACAAAAGTCATAAGGTAATGAATTACTTGTTGGAAAACAATGTCAAAGTTGTTCCAAACCCAATTTATTCACCTGATATTGCACTCTCTGACTTTTATTTATTCGGCACGCTAAAAAAGAGAGCTGAAGGACGCGAATTCGCGAGTCCAGATGATCTTGAAAATTTTGTAAGAGAGCAATTTGAGCAATTTTCTCATGATGATTTAAAGCGTGTCTTTCAAGCCTGGATCGATCGCTGCGAACGCGTGATTGAATCCAATGGTGATTATATTTAAATAAACTTTATATATATGTAACTTGTTTATTTCTATTCGCAGTATTCAGGTTTGTGCTAAACACACCTTTGGACACCCTATATAATACCAAACACTATCAAGAAAATGTGGCACCTAGAAAATTATGCAGCGGTGTTCAGGAAATTATTCATATCACGATACCGTTTTTTATCTATGACCCTTATATTAGCTCCGTTGATGATAAGAAATTTGGCAATATCTTGGTTGCCATTTTTTAATGCATATATGAGAGCAGTTTTTCCATCTGTATCTTTAGCTTCAATATTAGCTCCGATAGAGATAAAGTATTTAACAAGTTCCATATTATTATTTTCAGATACATATAAAAGAGGAGTTTTTCCATTTTTATCTGCTGCTTCGACATTTGCTCCTTTAGACATAAGTAATCGGACAAAAAAAGTATCACCTTTTTCAGAGGCCAAAATTAGCGCTGTTTTCCCATTTGAATCTTTGTTTTCTAAAAAGGATCCAACAGACGCAAGATAATAAGCAACTTGGGAATGCCCTTTTTCTAATGCCCATATGATTGATGAATAGCCATTGTTATCAATTACATCCTTATTAATTCCAATCGATATTAGATAATAAACTAAATCCAAATTTCCATTTATTGATGCCTCAATGAGTGAATTTCTTCCTTCTTTATTCACTGCTTCTTTATTTGCACCAATGGAAATAAGATATTTAACAACTTCAATGTTACCCCCTAATACTGCCGCAATAAGAGGTGTATTTTCACCTTTTGATTTCGCTTCAATATTCGAACCAATAGAAATTAAATACTTGACAATAACAAGCTGATTCCAATATGATGCCAATATTAATGGAGTACATCCGTTGTTATTCTTTACTTCGATATCACAATCACATTCAATAAAATATCTAACTAAATTGAAATTTCCCTTTTGACATGCTAAATGTAGTGATGTAAATCCAGTCTCATCTTCATGCAATTCTCCTAATGCTTTAATATATGATTTTAAAATACATTTTTGTTTTCCATAATTATTCGTAAGATCATCAATGAAGTTGTAAACATTTTCCAAATCTCTTAAATCTTTCAATTCCTGATTGATAAATTTTGGATGATTTGATATGTCTTTAAGCCGATGATTTTCTGAATGTAGTTTGCTTATTTTCTTCTTTTGTTTGTCCAAATCATATGTAATTTGTATAATAGCCTCATCCTTCTTTTTGATCTCATTCTTATAGTTTGAATTCGTATAAATTATTTTATCGCAATGAGATAAAACATCATTAATTTTTTTATTTAAGTCGCAATTTTGCTTCTTGAAGTTGTTGTTTTCATTCCGAAGATTGTTGTTTTCTTGAGAAATTTTTGATATTAGTGCTTCTTTATCGTTGATTTGTGTGATGAGTGAATTGATTTGATTTCGACTTTTTTGATTTTGAATCTTTTCATTATTAAGTTCAGATTGTAGTTTATCAATTGTTTTCGTTGATTCAATCAACTTGTTGTATTTTTCGATTAAGATTGGAATAATATTATTGAATAATTGAAATTTCATCTTTTTTTTTATTACAGTAAGAATTGATATTGCTTCTTTGAAATTGTTTAAAGAAACATTTGCATTAAGGAGATGAATATATGCTTTATCTTCGTTAACTGTTGAAGGGATGTGTCGAATAAGACTAATAAATTCATTTGGAGATAAATTTGTTAATTTCAAAATTTTTTCGATTTCTTCATCTCCAAATACAGTAAACAGTTTACAATCTTCAATAAATATCTCGTGATGTTCTGCGATGTACTCAAAATTATGAACAAGATCAATTACCTTATCACTCATAAAAATTTTAAATTAAAGAAAAAAAAAATGTATTTATCTTTTAACTTACTTTTTCATATGTGTAACTTTGTTTCCATTCATTATAATTAAGTCCATCATATAGTATATGCTGTATATGCATACATTGTCATAGAATTAATCTTATAAAAACCATTACTTAATTAGTTACAAGTGATTAAAATCACTCTATAAAATTGTTATTATTATAAGTAAGTTCGAAACATTAAAAGGTGCATTCATTCAATCTATACATATCTGGTGTTTGTTGGCCTAAAAATTATGATAAATTTTATTAGAAATTCAAAAAAGAAATTGTAATTACGCAATTGATTAGATTTATGATATGATTGAGTACAAAAAAGAAAATTCTATGTTATTAGAATAAGAATTACTAAATAAAAAAACAAATTAAAATAATTTATTCTTGAAATTTGATTATAAGTGGTTCCATGAATGCAAACAAGCGTTCTGCATTGGCAAGGAATAGTCTCATATTTATTCTTTGAATAGTTGCATCAATAATTGGTTCAATTTGGCGTTGAGTTGATTTTGTTTCGTTTAAAAGGACAGAAACCTCATTAAGAAGTGTACATAAAAGAACACGGAAGAAAATAAGTGGTTTCTTGCACGATGCGATCGTTACAAGTAACAATTTTATGTCATCATCAGATTTTGTTTCGACAAAGAAGCTCAAAACAGAAGTTGCAGCATAAGAAAGTGATTGTGTATCAAAACTTTGAAGAGTTTCAGCAACTGCTGGACAAAATCTCTTTAATAAGTTCATACTTGCATCTGTGAAGAAAAGTTTGTTGGAAAAGATCATAGTGTTCTCTCTTGGATCAGAAAAAGAGCTTGTGAAGTTCTGGAGGCTCCAGAAGATCAAAGATTCTGCAAAATTCGAATTTGTTTTTTCTCCTGAATGAAGATAAATTTGGTTACCAACACTGCCTGAAATAAAACTCTTGGTAAACAAAAGAGCTAATTTAAACAGTTTTTGAGACATTATTTGCTCATATCTGAAAAAGAAAACTGTGTGTTAGTATTTTCTAAGTAAAAGGAGCTGGTAAATAATGTTACCAGCTCAAAAAGTACATACATGAAATCAAAACGTTAAATATAATTTCTTTCGTTACATTTGACTTAATATTGCATTGTTGAAGGGATCCTTCAACTTCTTGAACGTATGTTCGTAAGTTCTTATTATTATTCCATTGAAATTTCGTAATTTTAGACCAAAAATCTTTAATTTCTAAATATTTTTTGAAATTTTGTTCTAAATCTGATTTGATAATACATTTCGTAACTAAGTATTGATATGACTTCGCATCGAACTCAAAAGCAGAGAAAGCAATGTGAGAAGATTTTGATAGCAATAAATTATTGATATCTTCGGTAGTAATAGGAATAGATTTATGCCACATGAATTCGTCATCGTTTTCAGCTAAAAATTTGAAGAAATATTCGACATTATCTTTAAATTCGATTGAATCGTGAGGAATGTATTGTTTTGTGTCTTTAGATTGTTGTTCCTTCAAAGGGGATAATTGAAAAGAGAATGGGGAATCTGGAAACATCTTTACAACTTTGGATAAAAAGGAAAGAAAGTTTGTTAAACCTTTAGAATCCTTAAATTCGATTTTACGTGATACTACGCCATTAAGTTCGAGTTTATTTTCTGAATTACTTGGTACAGCAATTGATTGAAACGAATTTAATAAATCAGTTATGAAAGGAATTGAATTCTCATCTCTGTACTCAAGTCTGATGTCCTGTCCAATTTGAGTGATCCACAAATGGAATGGAATTTTAAATTCCTCGTTTTGATAAAGGTTTATTTCAAATTCCATTCTAAAATTTTTGTCAGGATGTCAGAATATAGTTTTTATTTCACTTCTTGCAGCATCAACATCTCAACAGCTTAAACTACCAGTTTCCCTTTCATAAATTTCAAAATTTATCTCAATGTTTTGCTTCTTTACTGAGAATCCATTACAACTACGCCCATCTCACTTTAATTCAAAAATTTGACAACTGGTGTGAAGCGTAATTGAATTGAATGCCATAACATAGGGGCGTAAGTGCATCTTTAATTCAATATTGAAGTAAAATAGAGTGACTGAGTATAATGGCAGTGTTTTAACGAAGTGAGTATATTTGTTTACCATTAATCATGACTTTCATCAATGAGTTGGATTAAAGAAATAAAAAGTTTTGTTGAAATAGGTATAAAGAAAATCAAAAGCAATATTATGGGAGATAATCAATAGTTTATACTGTGTTTATGAGAGTTTATAATAGCATGCATGAGAAGAAGATACCTATTCGAAAACTTTTTCAAATTAGCAACTCTAATTTTATAAAATCTAAAGTTATCATAAACAATAAAAAAATTTATAAAACAAAATAAAAAATATTAATAAATAAGTTATTTTCTTGGAGTTGGAGTTTTGGCCTCTAACGCAGGTAATTTTGAGTTTTGATCCAAAGCGGACATCAACTTATCTCTCTTAACTTTCTTTTGCAAAGCAGACAAAACTTGTCCCTGAGGTTTTGAATTGAAAACTTTGTTAAATGTTGTTTCTCTGTTGAGTAATTCAGCCTGGCAATATTTTAACTGGCTCTGTACTTCATTCAAAGCTTTAGTTCTCTCATCAATAAGTCTTTCCAATTCAGCAATTTTCTCTAAATCTTCAGGTCTTGCACCTCTATTTTCGAACTTTTCTTCCCAATCTTTTGCTTCTACTTCTAGATTTGCGATGTTTTCTTTCTTTTCTTGTTCCATTTTTTGTATATCTTGTTTCTGTTTCTCTATTTGCAAATCCCATTTCTTCTTAAGTTCTTCCATTCTCTTATTGTATTCTTTTTCTTGTTCTTCAAGTTGATCCTGTTGTTTCTTCTTTTGTGCTGAAATTTGTTGTTTAATGTCTTCTAATTGTTTTCTCAGTTGATCTAATTCTTCTTCATGTTTCTTCTTGATACCATTAAGTTCTTCATTTGCTTTCTTTTCATGGTCTTTGACATCGTTTTCTCCTTTTTGTCTTTGTTTTTCAATTTCTGCTTTGATTTTATCTAATTCTTCTTTTCTTTGGTTCTGAAGGACATCGTTTGCTTTCTTTATCCTTTCGATCTCTTTGGCATGACTATCTTTGAGATCTTCCAATTCTTTGTTCCTTCTTTTGTCTTCTTCGCCACTTTTGCTTTCGATTTCTTTTTGTTTCAAATCAATTTCTTCTTTGAGTTTTGCTATCTCGTCTTGGAGCCTTTGTATCTCTGCTGTCTTGTTCTGCTCTTTCTCTTTAATAATGTCTTCTTTCTCCTTAATGATTTTGCTGTTATTTGCTTCAAGTTCGTTGTAATTTGTGGTCAGTTCACTAACCGTTTTTTGATGTTCGTTTTTAACAGTTTCCAATTCGTTTTTGAGGCGTTCCATCTCTTGGTCGAACTGTTCTTGAGCTGCTTTACGGAGTTTCTCGGCCTGTTCCTCTTCTGCTTTATGGGCAGCACATAATTCGTTATATTGTGAAGTAAATTTCGCAATCATCGCAGCTTTTTCGGATTTCCACCGCGAATTGTCCATTTTCTTGAGTTCATCGATCCTCTTTTGGCGTTTAGCAATCTCTTCTTTCCTGAATTCTTCGGCATTTTGCTTTTGTCTCTCTTTTTCTGCAATTTTTTGTCGAATTTCGGCCAATTTTTCATCCCAGGTCTTTTTAAGATCATCTAAATCGTTTTGCCTTTGTTTTTTCAGCTTTTCTAGAAGGTCATTTGCATCTTTGTTCTTCTTTTCTTCTCCTTCTTTCTTCAATTTTTCGATTTCTGATTTATGATTTTTCGTCATTTCGTCGATTTCTGTTTGGTTCTTGTTTTTGAGTTCATCCATGTCTTTCTTGTATAATTCACTCGCTTCTTCCATTCTCTTACGATGGTTTTCCTCTAATTCTTTTAATTTTTGATCTCTTACGTTTTTACGAAGCTCCATTGCGGCATTATGAGCAGCAATTAAGTCATCAAGCTCCTTCTGAGCATGTTGGATTGATTCTTGTAGTTTGGCAGCTGAATCTGAACTCTGGGCCATGGAATTATTAAGTTCTTGCTCAAGTCTCTTGATTTCCTCATCATGCTTCTTCTTTAATTCACTTAATTCTCTCTGATTTTTCTCATCCAAAGCTTTTAATTCTTCTTCGATTTTTTGTTTTGCGGAAAAGATGGCTGCTTTAAGGGATTGTACGTCAACATCGAATTTCTTTTGTACATTTTGCATTTCTTCTTGCAATTCTTTCTCTTTTCGTTGAGATTCAGCAACATATTCCATATGTCTCTTGTTTAATTCATCAATAGCCATCTTGTGCTCATTATCTAGTTGTTGCTTTCTCGAATCTCCATCTGCTTTGTTTGTATTTGAGGACTCCATTAAAATTTTCATTTGTTTTTCATGTTCTTGCCTTTCCTGCTCTAATTGGTCATTAATTGACTTCATAGTACGTTCGGACTCTTCCTTTTCGTGGTTTATTTGGTCTTCAAGATCTTTTAATATGCCTTCATATTTAGTTTTAATTTGATTCTCTTCTTCATCAAGTTTTTTCTCTTCTTCAGCATATTTATTCATAATAATGTTCTTTTGTTCGTCCATTTTCTCTGCTAGTTTCTCTGATTCTTGCTGCATTTGAATTAAACTTAATTTCAACTCATCAACTTCAACAACTATTTCATCTCTTTCCGCCTCGAGTTTTTTAACTCTCGCTTCTAGTTTCTTTTGCTTTTGTAATAAGTCTGCCGCTGTTTTCTGTTGTTCTGAAGCGATTTGATCTCGTAATTTAGCTAATTCTTCTTCATATTTCTGTCTGATGGCTTCTTCATCTTTGGCTGTCTTCATGACAATCTCGTTGTACTTCTTGTTAGCGACATTGACATGTTGAGTTAATTGTTTTTTATGTTTCTCTTCTAACTTTGCTAATGTTGATTCTGATATCTTTTGGAACTCTGCTGCTGAGTTATTAATCATTGTAGTTTGTTTTTCAAGCATAGCTTTTAAGTTCTGCAGCTGTTTTTGGTATAAAACGATTTGATTTGAGGCAAATTCGACAACTCTATGGGCCTGACTTTCCATTTGAGCACGACGCTCATCGTATTGTTGTGATACTTTCGAAAACTCTTTCTGGTAAATCTGCCTTATATTTGAATCGACTGTTTGCTCGCATGTTTGCATGAAATTAGTAACTCGATCGATTTCCTTCTTTGTTACTACTTGAGCTGCAGCATATTCATCCTCTAACGATTCTCGAAGATGTTTTACTTCATCTTTCCTGTCAATTGCTTCTGCATGAAGACGGAAGACAATCTTAGTCAGAGTAGCTATCTTTTTGCTGATCTGATGAATCCACTCTTGAAATTCTGGGTCGTTAAAGTCTAAATTGTTATTCATGATAAAAAATTGCACGTTGAAAATTTAGGTGTTTATAAAATCTTTGTACTTATGCAAAACTAATGTTTCTATGCTGTGTGATCCCTATTTCTTTAATTAAACTAAACGAAAGCCGAGCCAAAACTAAAATTATCTTTATTGAACTCAATAAGGAAGTAATTACACATGATGTTACTGTTGGGATTATGGAAGTCACTGCATCTAGATTGGTTTGGCAGTTTAAAAACAAAATAAAAATCGAGCATAAAATTGGAAAATCAATACAAACAATTTATTCATATAGAATCATCACAAAAAATGATAAAATGACTAAAAGTCCATTGGCAATTTTGCTAACGATAAAGAATCGTCAGATGAAGTATCATCAACTGATATATCTTGTGTTTCATAGGTTTGGAAATCTGCGTCAAGACTCAAAGTAGACTCTTCCTCGTCAGAATAATAAGAGCCTTCATATGATTTATCTGAATTATTTAAGAGAGGTGAAGTTGTGTTATCACGATTTGTCTTTTTTGAATCTTTTGCTCTTTCTGATGAGTTTTCCTTAGATTTTGGCGAGCGTGGTGTAAATTTTATCTCGGTTATATCTCCAGATTCATGCGCTCTAGATGAAGTTGGATTTGAAATAAGTGGCGAAAGTTGAGAAGATTTTCTAGGTGAAGGCTTCTGAGAACCGCTTGATTGATCTTTTGGAATTAAGCCATCGAAAAATTCTATAGACTCGTATTGTGATTCTGGGGATTGTAAGTTGGATCGTGCAACTCTTTTGGCAATGACAAAAAATAAAATTGTGCCAATTATTGATGAAATAATAACAATTGGGATAATAACGGAAATAGATATAAAAACTGGTTTTCTGTTAAACGATCTTGTTGGGATAGGAGGTATTTTAGTCCTCTTTGGGACTGTACCGGCTGATATTAATGATAAAAGCAAAAAAAGCATTTGAAAAGGCTGTTCCCCGTCACTTTTATTATTTTGAAGTAAAATAATGATTCAATTCATTACAGCTCTGCAATGATGTAAAAATTTATCAAACAAAAATCATAAGGAACATGTGGATTTAACTAATGTTAAAGTTTTTCAATGTCAAAGAAAAATATTCGCATAGAAATTTTTGAAAAAGAGTTTTGAAATTTGATTACATTTAATAATTATTTTGTCCAAAATGATGTAAAACATTAATATTATAAAAAAATTATTTGAGCGGATTGAAATCTATTATATTTTTGATGAATTAAGTATATTTCAGCATTGATAGCAGTTCCCATTTAATTATTTCGCGGAAAATTAAAAAAATCAATTAAATAATTTCAGTAGTATATGTTGAAGGGTTGTGTGACTTTTTTTGTAAACGTAAGAATTCATACAATATTGAACGATTTTGTATCATTTTTTTTAACATATGAAGTAAAAAATGTATGATTCTTACGGTTTTTATTCTCACGTTTTTGAATAAATTAAGATTTAAAAAATTTTCAAAATTGTAAGACATTTACACTCAGCCCATACATAACGAAATAAATCATTAAAAAAAATAAAATTGACTTCTTACGTAAAATTAAAACTAAGTTAAATTTATTTTTTTTATTTTTTATTTTATAATAAATGAGTATAACAACTAATTCATTGAAATCTTTAAAGTTCACTAATTCAGAATTAGAAAATATTTTAGAAAATTTTGGAGACGGTTCTTATCCAACATATATGCAGAATGTGAAAGAGTTTTCCAGATTGTTGAATGAATTTAAATATAACGGACAATTACTAAAAAGGCTATAATGAGATATTTATATCCCAAAAAAGTTGAAAAACAGGAGAATATTCCTCTTTATGGTCCAGAGGACCTGGGCTCAGAGAGCCTTGAAACACCTCCTGAATATTTTGAAGAAAAAATTAAACAAGATGAATATTATAACGATGAGATTGAGAAATTGGAACAATTAAGAAATGAAATAGATGAAAGAATTAGTGAATTGAGAAATGCTGAGAATGAAGTAGAGGGTTTAATGAATATCCCAGCTTCAGAATCAGCAGTTCAGAAATCTCATGAAGAAAGATATAAAAATTACTTTTTGGAATCTACTAAAATTTATTAGATGGTGATATTGACGAAACACTTTCAGAAGAAGGCACAAAATTTATTCATAAACATAAGCTTCAGTTTATTGACGATGGAGATTATCCATGTATATTACTTTCACCTCCTCTTGATTCTGAAAAATTCAAAAAAGCACTGAAAAATGTAACATATGCAACAAATACGATTAAGAAAGAAGACCATGATATTTACACAAATTATTATTTAAATAAATGTACAGGTGTTGATAAAGTTTTTGATTTGTTAGATAAAATATCAAAAGAAACAATTGGTACATATAAAATTTTATGCGATTGTGGTTTCATTATTGAAGATACCAATAATGTTTCATATGAAAGAACAGCACCGAAGGAAGACGAAGTTGAAAGGTCTATACCATTCGTTATTAAGAACATAAAAGATATGAAAACGTTATAAGCATTATATTTATTCATTTATTTCAGAAAAAATGGAAGCAACCCATAAAACATCTTCTCATCATTTTATAGCTATTCATACATTCCTTTTCAAAGTTGTGAAATTAAATAAGACAGGAATTAGATTTAATGTATCAGGGTACGCATTCTTGAGTAAATTAAAATGTATTCGTCACGTCGCAGATGATAAAAATTTATGTGTTCTTAATTCATTTTATGGGTTTTAACCCTGGACTCTCTGAGTCTCGGACTTTAAAAAATAAACTTTATTTTTTAATTTTTATTCTTACATAAATGAACAAAAATGGAACAGCTAAAATGAATGATAATCAAATAAGAGCCGAAGGTAGAAGGTTATTTAAACGCTTCTATAACATTCCTGATGGTGTTAATCCTAAAACTCGTAGAAGTTATTTAAATGAAGCCATAGATGCATATGAAGGATTTGACATTTCATCAGAAAGTGAGAGGTTAGCAAGAATGTTAAACGTTAATATTGATTTTATTATTGTGACCTCAACCAGAAGACGTAGACATTAACAAGGTAGACTTTCCATTAGTGGAATCAATAATGATAGATCCAGAATTTGAAACAGTAAATATTTTATTAACACAGAGTCCATGTGGAAAACTTCACGCTGACAGAATTACAGACGTTGAAGCACTCACAGGATATAAAGTTTGCCCCTTTTGCAAAGAAGAAGTTTATTCTATCCGTGATGATCCAGAAAGGAAAAACCAAAGAAGATTTTTAAAACATTGTGAGAAATGTAAAGAAAATAATGGAAGATTAATTCAAGACGTTCAGTTGCAAAAGACACAGCAACCATATGCACCACATATTACGAAACAGAAGATATATCAATGGCTATTAGCACATAATTTGCAGGAATATTATAAACCAACAAGATATTATATTACTTTTGACTTCGAAACATTAGAGACTAAAGAAGAACTTCAACTTTCTGAATGTGCAACTTTGAACGCTTACTTAAAACCATTTATGGTATCATCAACTGTCAAAATAAAGCCGCAAAGCGGCGAGGTCGTAGACCGTGATAAAACATTTACGAGGAATTTTTGCTTAACATCAAGTGATTCGTTCATCTCTGATTGGATTGAATTTTTATTTTCAACCTGTTCATTAGTTGCTAAATCAAATATTGAACAATATGAAGAATTAATGAATACATTAAATGAAAAACAGAAGGAAGCAATGAAAGAGCTTTTAGATGAAGAATTTAATAAAGTGAATATCATTGGTTTTAATTCGGGAAAGTTTGATTTAAATTTAATTCTTCGTGATTTAAATACTGCAAAATGGAAGATAAAATCAATGCTGGGTTCTTCTTCTCAATTTAAGCAAGTCATTGTAAAGAAAACAAACTGTCCATATGAATTAAGATTTATTGACATCAGAAATTATATAGCGGGTGGACATTAGACCAATTCACTCAAGATTTCGGAAACAATAAATCACGTGTTAAATCCTTTTTCCCTTATCAATTCATCACATGGGAAAATTACGAAGAAGAATTATATAAAGGGAACCATTCACGAAAGATTCATTTTATTCAGCATTAACACAAGAAACAATATCCGATTCAGATTATCAAATATATCTCAATGATGCTAAAAATTTAAGAATAGATTAGAATATTTTATTCATTATTGCAATAAAGATGTTGAAATTATGATTGACCCAATTGATAAAATTATTGAAGAAACATTTGTTTATAAAATTGACATGCTTCATAATCTTTCTTTATCATCGAATGCTTCAATGATTCGTTACGCTTTAGCATATAAAGACTTTAATCCTAATGAAAAATATCCTGAGGAAGAGATAGAATCAAGTTTTGAATTAACGAAAAAGTATTGGAAATATAAAATTGAATCATATAAGAAACAAGATGAAAAAGCAGAAAGGGATACTAAAAATAATGTTTCAATGGATGATTTTCAATACTATCACGATTTAATCCTTTCATCTAAATGCAAAATGTGTGGTAAAGCGTTTACATATGCAAATAAACCATCATTGGATAGAATCGATAATGAAAAACCACATACCAAAGAAAATTGTCAGTTAATGTGTTGTTATTGCAATGTCGTAAAATCAAATAAAGATGAAGATGTTCAACGTTTAAGAATCAATTTAAGAAATTATGCATTAAAAAATAATTTACCAATGACTTTAGATTCAGTTGAAGCTTATCACATTCTCCGTAATGGAATTACTGGTGGTTTATCAAATGTTCAACATCGTGTTAATCTTAAAGGAATCACGCACATTAATAAACTTTCATATAATCCAGAAACTAAAACTGTATCAAATGAGGACACCACCAACATTATGACTCATTTCGTTGGAGTTGACTTTAATTCATTATATCCTTCATCATTTTCATCTAATCCTCATGATTTCATTCAATATACTGACCATAAAATGTGTATGCCGGGAAGATTGAATGGTGTTATCATTTGTGATACAGCAACAAAGAAAGCAAAAGCATTGGGAATTATTAGAAAGAAAAATACTTTATTCGTGGCTGAAGTAAAGGGTCACATTGATGAAAAATACATTAATGATTACATAAACTTTTTACCGATAATAAGAAACTTAGATATTATCACAGATGAAAAAACAATTGGCAGTTTTATGTATAATTACATGAAATCAAACAATCTACCAGTTGACCAGAAACAGAGGAAATTAACTCAGTTAGCATCAACACACAACCAATATCAACCATTTTCTTCTTATTATCTATGGTATCTAATCGACAGATTTCATTTTATCATCGATGATATTCAATCAATTTTAACATTTACTAAAAACACTTGTTTTAATGAATTTGCGAAGAAATTCATGAACGAAAGACAAAAGGCTGAATTAGAAGGAAATAAAGGAAAAAGTTTATTTTGTAAGATTTCACTTAATGGATCATATGGTTACGATGCAATGAATACACAAAATTACGCAAAGACTAAAATAACGAATGCACAGAAGGCACGCGTTGCATGTATGTCAAATAAGTTTAAAAACATAAGAGAAATAGGTGAGGATACATATCAAGTGATGCTCAAAGATAGATTTTATAGATGTGAAACATGTTTACAAGAGGCATTCTTTACTTTAGATAATGCAAAATACTGGTATTTAGTTTTCATTTATGATTTTATGTATAAATGCATGGATGTTAATCGTTTTCATTTCATTGAAGGTGATACTGATTCATCTTATTGGGCAATCGCTGGCGACCCAAATCTTCCTAACACTCAAGCATTTCAAGCAATTGTTACCGATAAACAATTTTATGATAAAAACATTTTCAAATTCGCACCTTTTGATTTCTTCTGTTTTGATGAGAAATTTAAACCTAAATTAAAGAATAAAGCTGAAGAAAAAGCACATGAGAAAAAATTATTGGGTTTAGCAATTGAGAAACAAGGTGATAACATGGTTGCTTTATGTCCTAAGTGTTATACATCATTCAACGGTTCAATTGATGGAAGTGATTTTAAAAAGATTGCACAAAAAATGAAAGGTGTTAGTTTACGACAAAATAAACAATTAACACCTAAAAAATATTTGGATATAATAAATGATAAAGTGATATTTGATGGTCAGAATATTAATTTACAACTTAAAAATGGGTCAATGACTCGCTTAACAATTGGTAAGACTGCATTAACAGGAGCACACACTAAGGCTGTATGTTGTGAAAATGGATGTTGTATGCCATTTATTTAATACAATTTAAAATTTTATTTTTAATGAAATGCCACAGAAGAGACAAAAGGAACCGTTAATGATGGTTTTGATACTATGATTCAAAGAGGCGGGCACCCTTAAACATTTATTTTATTTTTATATAAATGGATACCATAAATTTAAAAATTTTAATTGATGATTTAGTATTTAATCAAAACTTTCTTAGTTATTATGAATTAAAAGCATATCTCCAAAAACATAATAACAATATAACGGGTGATGATATGGATTATTATTATCCGTATTATAAAAATGAAATTTTGAAATATCATGATAAAATAATTTCTAAAATTAAAGACAAAATTAAAAATAATGAATATGTAAAGGGAAAAACTAAATCACAACTTAAACAGTTGAAAGATTTCAAAAATAAAGTATTAACAGAAGAAGATATTGATGAATTATATAATTTATATAATCCTGAGCCACAAAAACCAAAGGAACAAAACACCCAGGTCCTTCAGACCATAAATGAAGCACGAGCTTTAATTTATGATTCATTAGTTAAACCATATTCAGCCCGACTTTTAAATGAAGATCAACTTTTGGAATTCATCCTTCAACATAAACTCGAAGCGGGAAAGTATATCAAACCTTTATATACAGCATATTTAAAACAAATGAATAGAATACATCCAGAATTAATGAAGGAAGGAATGAAATCCAAAACTTCATCATCCAAAATCAAAGCAGATAAAATTAAACCACTTGCAACACCAAAACCTCCAACGACAGTACCGCCTCCTCCTTCAGTTAATCCTTCATCATTCACTTTATTATATCCATTTCAAACATTAAAGAAACAAAAGATTTTAAAAAGGATTTCAAGATATTAAATAAACCAATTGACCCAAAAATTCAACCATTAAAGGAAAAATTTAGTCGCCCTTCATTTTCCATATCCATATTCATACGAAATCGATCATCTGGAATATTCAAAAGGAAACGTTACTTATTTATTTGCCATTAACATTAACACTAGATATTTATATTGCATTCCAGTGAAAGGGAAAACAGAACAGGAAACAAGAAGAGCTATACAATACTTACTAGATCATGAAAGAGTAGATAATATCAGGGGTGATGGTGATAAAGGATTTCAGGCAGCTATGACTCATTATTTCCCACAAATTAATTTTTTCTTCTCATCCTCTCCATATACGTTTCATAATAAAATAGTTGATGGTAATGAGAACTCTTAGAGATGCGTTAGGGGTTAACGGTCAGATATACTGGGATGGAAATCATGACTCCATCATACAGCAGTTAGTATATTATTACAATAATACATGGCATAGAACAATAAACATGAAACCGGTGGAAATGAAAAATGATATTTCAAAAGAATGGGAATATATTAGAAAGCAAATGGAAAGGTTAAATGATGTTAAACGTGAACAAATTAATTCGGGGCTCATGAATTTTAAACAAGGGGATAAAGTTTTGATTCATCTCGATTATGGAAAAACTGATAAATCAATGACAAAAAGAAGACGAAGATTTGACACAATAGCTGAATTTGTTAGATATATTAACGGCAATGCATTAGTTGAAGTTGACAATAAATTAATAGAAATTCCGATTTATTTTATTACTCCATTATATTTAAATAATATTTAATTTTTTTTATTTCGTAAGAAATGAGTGACAACGAAGCAGCCAAGAGTCCGGACGATGAATATAAAAAGAAACTAAACAGAATTAAATCAAAAATATGCTATTACAAAAAGAAGCCACAATGCGGTGGGGTTGATGCCCATAAAACTAATGGAACTGAAAACGATAAAGAGAAGAAGGAAATAATCGAAAAATTAGAAACTTACCGTTCAATCCTTAAACTGAGTGAAGCAAAAATAAAAGAATTTAATAGAATAAATAAATTGATTGGAAGAGATGAATTTAATAAAGATGAATTTTTAAACTCAATCCAAATTTAATTTTTATTCCTCTTTGACAACATCTCTCTTTCCATCATTACTGCATAACCACATTTTCTCAATTTTAGTGGTTTGTTATTTTTAACATGTTCTTGCATCATTTTTATCATTTCCTCCCTTGTTATGATTCGTGGTAAATTTTGAGCTTGTGGGGTATCCATTTATGATAAAAATAAAAATTTAAATTATGCCGTTCTAAAGTTTGTGACAACATGACATTTTGACAACAACACAGGAGGAAGGCAGTTATGAATTATTTTTGAAGAACTGAAGGTGCTACCATGTTACCATGTGCTACCAGGTCATTTAACTTCTCTGAAAAAGTGTGACAACATGACATTTTGACAACAACACAGGAGGAAGGCAGTTATGAATTATTTTTGAAGAACTGAAGGTGCTACCATGTTACCATGTGCTACCAGGTCATTTAACTTCTCTGAAAAAGTGTGACAACATGACATTTTGACAACAACACAGGAGGAAGGCAGTTATGAATTATTTTTGAAGAACTGAAGGTGCTACCATGTTACCATGTGCTACCAGGTCATTTAACTTCTCTGAAAAAGTGTGACAACATGACATTTGACAACAACACAGGAAATGATTTGTCATGACTTCATCGGAATGAGTGTAAATGACCCAAAAATAAAGTTAGTTTTAAAATTATTTTTATTTTTTTATTTTGTATGTAAGAACAGAAATGTCAGTCGAAGCAAAAACATTCACTAACAAATCTAATGGCGAAACATTCACAAAAGGCACTTATAACGGTATTGAAGTCTTACGTAGAGACAAGGATGGTTACATTAATGCAACAAAGATGGCAAGAGAAGCAGGAAAGTTAAACCATTTAAACAGATTTCTCAATAGTGCTAAAATACAGGAAATTCTTGAGTTTTGGATGAACGAATACGGTGGAGCCAAAAGTGGCTCGACCTCAAAACAAGCATTTTATGAGCTTACTAAGGGTGTTATAAATGAATTCAAAGGTATTTACATACATCCTGACCTCGTTCATTTTGTTGCTGAATGGTGCTCTGTAAAGTATGCATTTTATGTCAAAGATATTATGGACTCCATAGACAAGAAAGTTCATGAGAAATTCGATGAAGAAGAACTTGAAGATACAGTAGAGAATGCTAAACCTTTGTTTGAAGAAGAAGTTGGAAAAATGTGCGAAAAACAATTAGAACATGAACGTGAGTTATGTTATGGTTATAGAGATTCTCCATACGAACTAGACCAATGGGAACAAGAAAATTTAAAGAGAGAATTTAGAGAATATGAACTCGCTAAGATAGCATTAGAAGCTGCAGAAAAGAAGTTAAAAGCTTGGGGTTGTTTTGTACAAAAATATTGTGAGTAAATGAACCATTTATTTTTATTGAATTCACCAAAAATAATTTTTAGGGTAGATGGTTAGATCTAACCTCATTTCTAACCTCATGACATTTTGACAACAACACAGGAGGAAGGCAGTTATGAATTATTTTTGAAGAACTGAAGGTGCTACCATGTTACCATGTGCTACCAGGTCATTTAACTTCTCTGAAAAAGTGTGACAACATGACATTTTGACAACATTTACGAAAATATGATGCAGTCCAAAAATAAAGTTAGTTTTAAAATTATTTTTATTTTTTTATTTCTATATAAATGACGGCAACAAACAACAACAGCAACTATATCGTTTCTGATGAAAAAGTTATTGATTCATTAGTTGAGGAATTAGTTATGACAGAAACTAAAACCCTCAATGAAAGAATTGGTGAAAACATGATTGATTTACATAACTACCTCAAACATGATGGAGGAAGAGGAAGGAAAACTGGTATGGCTTTATTAGTAAATAAAATATCAAATTTAACGATTATAGATGTTGATATCAATAAATCGTACAATGATGAACTTAAAGAAACAGTTAGAAAAGATATTTTATCAAAACTTTCGGATAAAGATGTTATCGTTAAAACCGCTTCAGGAGGTCTTCACATTTATTGCAACACTAATTTCTTCTATGCAGTTTCGAACAGAATGATTAAATGTTATTCCTGCAATGATTATGATATCGACATAATGACTTCAATGGATGATTCAAAGCGTTCATTAGTAGTCATGGCTGATTCAAGAGTTCGCAAGAATGCATCAGAACCAATCAATACATACTCATTCATTCGTGGAAGTTACGATTCAACATTAACCAGAACAGTGAATGATATATTAAATGATTTGAATATTAAGGTAAGAGTTGAACAGAAGAACGAAGAAATAAAGAATATCATGAATGAAAACAAAGATGTAAACATTGACGATAAACTTGCCCAGAGCATAGTTGATGGCATCTGTGATTTTGAAGTACATAATGACGGTGGAAACATGAATTTAGAAAAAGAAGTTACATTATTCACACTGTTTCAAGCTATTAATTCGTTACCTAATCATTTAATTAATGAAGCATACGATAACGTTTATAACTTCTGCAGTTTAACAGAAAATGCTAAAAGTAATTTTGAAAAAGCACGTAGTAGATATGCACATTTAATGACTTCTCCATTTGTTTTAGTGAAGATTCTAAAACTATATCAAAAGGAATATTATGATGAATATGTTTTACCTTTATTACGTAAGCCAAAAATAACATTTGATATCAAACTTGATGACTCGTTTTGATAACAGATATTAGACGCAAGGCTGAAAATCATCAGTATAAAAACAGTTCTGAAGTAATTGAGGATTTATCACGTGTAATCCGTTTTGTAGATTGTGGAAATAAATATTTCATTCAAAAGGACTATAATATCCACGACAAAATGAATCAAATATCATTCGTTCTTCAATCAAACATGAAAGAGTCACTCAAAATGATTAAATTATTTAAAGAAGAAGGTAAAACAATAACAGCATGGGATGTACTACTAAATCAATTGTCTTCATTAACCGTTAAGGGTGTTTGCTTTAAATCTGATTCCCCAGATGTTTTCTCAACGTTTCAGGGTTATAAATACAACATTCTTGAAAAGCCTGATTACTCAAAAATTGAGATGTTTATGAATTTCATTAAAGAAGCCATTTGTGATAATAACGATGAAGTGTATAAATACCTTCTCGGTTGGATTGCATCAATGATTCAACATCCTGGAATCAAGAATGAAACAGCAATTATTTTGAAAGGACTTCAGGGAACAGGTAAAAACAGATTTACAGATATTATTTCTGAACTTCTCGCTGGTTATTCATGTAAAAACATTACTGAAATAAGTGAGCTAACGGGTAATTTCAATTCAGTAGTTGAGAATAAAATGTTTCTTGTACTTAATGAACTCAAGAATGTAGGTGAAGACAGACTCGCAAACTTCAACGCTTTGAAATCAATTATTACGGATAATCAAATTAGAATTAATGAAAAGAATCAACCCAGAAGAACTGCTCAGAACGTTGCAAACTTCATTTTCGTAACTAACAACGTCTACCCTGTCAAAATTGAAGTTGGAGACAGAAGATACGTAGTTTTAAGGGTTAATGGTAAATTCAAGGGTCAATTTGATTACTTCAAGAATTTAATGGATTCATGCACTAAGGAATTTTATGATAATTTACTGACGTATTTTATGCAATATGACCTTTCATCATTTAATGTACGAATCATACCGATGACTGAAGCCAAACAAGATTTAATCGAGTTATCAACAAATCCTTTAGATGTATGGATAAATACACATTATGATGAATTGTGTGCAGGTATGACGTGTGAAAATGCTCTATTCTGCAAACCATCAGACATGAAAGACAAAAACTTTCAAATGAGTATTAAGGATAAATGTGATAGGAAACATAGAAGAATAGACGGTAAACAAACATGGTGTTATGTTTTGAAAGAAGAAATGAAAGGATTATATAAACAGGTTGAACCAAACGATAATGAGGATTCATTTACTGACGATGAAATACCTGTAAATGAAGCTTTATAAAGTATGATTTGAATTTATTTTTGCATTAATCCTCCTGTGTTGTTGTCAAAATGTCATGTTGTCACACTTTTTCAGAGAAGTTAAATGACCTGGTAGCACATGGTAACATGGTAGCACCTTCAGTTCTTCAAAAATAATTCATAACTGCCTTCCTCCTGTGTTGTTGTCAAAATGTCATGTTGTCACACTTTTTCAGAGAAGTTAAATGACCTGGTAGCACATGGTAACATGGTAGCACCTTCAGTTCTTCAAAAATAATTCATAACTGCCTTCCTCCTGTGTTGTTGTCAAAATGTCATGTTGTCACACTTTTTCAGAGAAGTTAAATGACCTGTAGCACATGGTAACATGGTAGCACCTTCAGTTCTTCAAAAATAATTCATAACTGCCTTCCTCCTGTGTTGTTGTCAAAATGTCATGTTGTCACACTTTTTCAGAGAAGTTAAATGACCTGGTAGCACATGGTAACATGGTAGCACCTTCAGTTCTTCAAAAATAAGTCATTATTGAATAACCTGTAAACATTAACGTAAACATTTATTTCTGCAGTTCATTCATTACTTCATTACCTAATTAATTACAAACATAAAATATATTTAGTTCATTCAATGAACGCGGTAAGCCTGCAAAGTAGGCTCAAGCACATTCAATAAATGCGGTACCATGCGAATACAGTCATAAATGGTGGCATATAATCTTTACCCAAGCCTGTTGGATTTGTTGTGAAAGTATGTGAATGATTTCCTCCTGGTTCAGTTGGTCGAAAAGTCTTTTTTGCTGAATGGTTATAATCTGGAGATAAAACGTCATTGCCAGCATAATATTCTGAGTTGTATAATGGATGGTCTCTTAATGAGTGACTATGGTCACCAGAAAAGTTTGTAGTTCCTGTATGAGTGTGCGGTGGAAGGTTTGCTTCAGTAATTTTCTTCGAACCTCCTGTTTGCTTTGAATATCTAGCACAATAGAGGAATTTATCTACAATCTGTTCCCACATACCGAAACCTAAAACTTCTGAAGGATTTGTTGAGTTCATTGACGTATAAATAGAACCAATGGGGTAAATCATCTCAAGAATTGTATTTAATCCATTATGAATATTGAATTTATTATATAATATTGAATTTGGGTGAGTATTTAAAACTGGTCTTGTTATCAATATTAACGTATTATTTTTGAAAATTGCTTTTCTAACATCTTGAAATTTTGTGATTTCAGACCAGTTTCTTCCATCACTACTGATATTTACTAAATCACCACATCCTAAAGCAATGAAATACCCATCAATATAAAATAAATTAGTAAATCTATAATTTTGAGTAAGTTTTGGAGTGAATGAATAAACCAATTCCCAATTTGATAAATCCTGTGATAAATAAATATGTCTGTTATAACTTACAGGATATGAATAGACCATTTCACCTGAAACGAGAACATAAACATTTGATCCATAACATAAAGCTTCAATGTCTCCATCAGCTTGAAAAATTTGTTCAAATTGACCTTGTGATATTGAAGATGATCTATAAATTTTATCATTTTGTAGGATAAAATACATGTTGTTAATGTAATACCACTTACTTGTATAATCAATTTTCAAATCTGATGACATCATACTAAACATATAATAATTTATCCCATCCTCACTAATGAAAATTTGATTGACTTCATAAATTAGTACCCATTTATTATTAACACATCTAATAGGATTATTTGGATATTTAAATTTAGCATCTTGATTTAAATTACATTTGAACCATTGGATACAATCGAATGAATAACAAGGGCAAAAATCATCTTCAACCGTTATCATTCCCATAAATTTACCGTTATTATATTCAACATATAAAATTATTGGATTAATGATTGGCTTTCGTGTATCAGGATTCAAAACAGATGGAGTAAATGATTCATAGTTTTTAAAATCATTTGTTTTAAAATAATAAAGCACTCCAGCTGTATAAAATAAATACATGGTCACTCCATCGAAACATATCCATTCAAAAGAATCTATATCAAAGGTTTTATCTGATGATTTCATAAAATTTAAAAACGGTGGAGTAAAATAGACCTCTGATTGTTTTATTTCTTCATTAACAAATGATATATTAGCTTTCTTCATTAACTCACTATCCACATATTCCTTATCTGCCTTCTTCTCTAACTCATCGTTAACATATTCCTTATCCGCTTTAAGGTCTAAACATCCTGAAACCCATCCTGTATCGGCTTTAGTTTTTAAAATCTTTGATGTCCATTCATGATACCATTCAACCCTTTCTTTAATTTCATTATCTTTTTCGTTAACATATTCCTTATCTGCTTTCTTCTCTAACACAGCAGCAACATATTCCTTATCTGCCTTCTTCTCTAACTCATCGTTAACATATTCCTTATCCGCTTTAAGGTCTAAACATCCTGAAACCCATCCTGTATCGGCTTTAGTTTTTAAAATCTTTGATGTCCATTCATGATACCATTCAACCCTTTCTTTAATTTCATTATCTTTTTCGTTAACATATTCCTTATCTGCTTTCTTCATTATGTCGTTTAGGAAACCTTCTATGAATTCCTCATTTAAATTAAATCTTCCAATCTTCAAAACTTTAGGAAATGCATTTAATGTGTAATATCTCTGTTCTTCTGGTGGAATTGATGTTATATCATCCGTTATACCTTTAATTTTTGAATTCATAAATAAAATTTCTTTTATATTTGATATCACCGCACCACCTTTGCAAACGAATTCGAAATGGTCATTTTTCAATACTATCTCCAAATCTCCATATTTCAACCTTTGCGTTTGTTCTGCCGTCTTTGAATTATATGCATATATGGCGTATGTAATGGTCTGAGGGACCTGGTGTTTTGTGCCTTAAGTTGTTGTGGTTGCTGTTGTTTAATCATTTATTATGATTTAAAAATAAATATTTAATCTGTTATCTCATCAGCTATTTTTTCTATTTGAAATTGCCATAATATTTCATTCATGAATTCTAAATCACAATCAAATAGGTCAGTTACTCTAAATTTAATATTTGATAAATCTTTTGAATGAAGAATAAATGAATTCCCGGATAATTGAAACGGATATGATAAAGAAAATGTGTTTAAGTTGATGGATAAAATGTTTTGTATTGATGGGTAAGAGTTAGGGTCTAATGTTTGATGTGAAAATCTCATTGGGGTATTAACTTTATCACATTTGATTAAAATGAAATTGGAACCAGTGTCAGAATACAAAACATCCCAACATCTTTTTCAAAATTTAATATTCCCAACAATGAACGAAGATGAGGAGTACAAATTTAATTTTCAGCGGAAATTTGATAAGGTTATTTATTTCATCAAGTTCAAAAAGTTTATCAGGTTTTGATTTAAAATTTTCTTCATACCATATGATAAATGATTCATTTAAATAACTTAAAATCATGTTAATATCCCATTTCGTTATCACATTATTTATATACATATCATACGTTTTTCATGGTCATCTTTAATAAATGATATATAATCTGAAGGGTCTAAAAGAATGGGATTAAATTTACCACTCACAGAAAACGAGAGTAACATTATAATTCCGCTAACTGTTAAATTTAATTCACAGCTATTATTCGAAATAATATTGATAATTGACATTTTTATTACGAATAAAAATATGGTAAAGCGTTATTTTCCAGTGATAAATAAAACTAGAATAAGATTACCTCAAGAATTCATAAATTCAACGAATAAGAAATTCATTCATGTTATAAATTTTAGTGTTTTCAGAAAATATGAGTCAATGTCATATTCATCAACAGGTTATATTTCACTTCATTCAAATTTAGTTCAATCAAACCCATATAATGACCATTTCATAAGATTTTCAGATGGTATTAAAAATGTAATTGATAGATTAAAATATGAACAGATTGACAATATCGAATTTTTGGAATTTTGGTTTAAATATCCCGATGGAAAAAAGATTGAAGTTAAAGATAAAGCTGATACTATAACAAAAACAATTACAATGACCGATCCAGATAGTGGGGAACAAAAAGAAATAAAACAAACGATAGAAACTGGTGAAAGGTCAATTATTATTGATTATGATTCAAAGGATTATTATTCGATAATGTTAATGCTTGAATATTAAATAGCCTTAACAAAGAATTTTTCAAGTGATATTTTATATTCATCAACTATTTTATTATAAATATCATTATATGTTAAATGAAGTTCAGTTGTTGTTCCGTTCTTTGATATCTTAATTGTGCTAATATCCTTTATAGGATTTATTTTTGCAACTGTTCCGCAGCATGAAACCTCATCATCTATGAAAAATTGAATCTTAACGTCTGAATCTTGAACATCACAAAGAATGGCGATAATGTGAATTAATGATTCATAAGGTAAAATAATTAAACCGGATTGATCAATTAAATTTATTATTGAATCATAATTATTAATTATTATATCACGGTAAATTTTCATTAATTCAGAATTAATGTCTATTTTATATGGGTTCTCGATGTTTGATGAAAGAGGCGGGGGGTATGTTGGATAAGTGGGAATTTCAACAGGTTCTTTACCAGGTTCAGATAAAATGGTTGGGTCTCCATTCTCATGGTTTTCTTCATTCTCCTCATTCTTCGGTAAGTCACGAGTTAATAAATTTGGTTGAGTTGCTGACCTTGTTAATTCGGGGCTAACATTAACTTTAACATTTTGAATAATTCGTGATTTATCATCATTTACGTTATAACCAACCGTAATCTCTGCTTTTGCGTTTGTGTTCTTTTGACTTGTGAAACGTCTTCTCATTTATAATTGAATAAAAAAAGAAAAATATATTTAAAGTTTTATTTAGTTGTTACGGTAATATCCCAAGGTTCATCATTGTTTGCTTATACTTTCTTTGTAACTGCACCAATTATGTTATTGATATTGCTTTGAGTTTCTTCCAGTCTTATTTTATCATTTACAATATCTTTAATCATTTCATTACATGCATTCTTAAAACCATCTGATTTTTCTAATTTACGTCTATCACTTTCTTTAATTAAATCAAAGTTATAACCTTGTTGAGAATAAAGTGGTTTCTTTATCAATTCCTTGAACGCTTCTGAAAGTGAAGATGAAGAAATTCTTGCCACTTGAATTGGTTTAAATTCTGCTTTCATTGCTTCTTTCTGTTCATTGAACACTGGATCGAATAAAGCAACTTTAAAGAATTTCTTAGTTGGAATTTCAGGTCTCAAATTTGCATATTGACCATCAAACTGATTAACATATCGTGGTAATCCATCCGGTCCCTCTTCAATAGCATTTAATTCTTCATTGAAATAAGAATATGGATTATAACGGTATGAATTAATTGGACCATTTTCACCTTCTCCAATGTATTGTTTAACAGCTTTTCCATTTTCATCAAATTTCATAGGATAACGTTCATTATATGCTTTACGTTTAGGATAATCCGTCATTGTTAATTTATACCCATTTATGACTTTAATATTTCCTTGACCATCAGTAACGAAAACTTCATTTATACCATCAGGTTTTCCATTTGGACCCGTAATGTCTGCTTCGTGTGCTTCCCAATTTGGTCCATGACGTTTGGCATATGCTTGAGCTTCTGGTAATGTTAAAACGTTTCTCATTTGTTTAACATCTTTTTGAAGACCGGCAACAATGTGGACTAATTCTTTCATTCCGTCTGGAACTTTCATAGTTCTATTATATCCACCCTTTTTGTTTGTCCCTTGTTTTAATGGAACCTGTAGAAGATTTGCTATTTCTGTCATGTTTAATTATAAATAAAAAATAAAAATTAATTATAAAAAGTTAATCAAATTTAATGGAACCTTTATTTAAATCAACTATTATTTTTCCATGTTCACCTAATTGCTGATATTGTGTGTAAAGTTCATTAATGCTCATTGGTAAATTCACTTGATAAAGCATAACGTTCAACTGTTGACGACTAAACCCACTGAAAATGAAAAGGGTTGATAGATTTGATTTAATGTTTGTGCTTAATGCTTTGAAGTATTGAACAGCCATGAAGAATGAACACTGAATGTGTCGACATTGAGTTAATAACTGATTAAAATATGATTTCTCATTTGTTATTAGTTTTGATTTCACTGCATCATCTAGAAAAATTAGTGAATGCAAAAATTCTTTATCAAAATTTGAAATAGAAAGTGTTTCAAATAATTCATCCCTTTGTTTATCAATAATTTTATCCTCTAATCCTTGCTTCTTGATTGTATTATATAATTCTTTATACATTAAAAAGTTTTTTAAATAATCTTCTGCTTCTTCTTGTGATAAATAAATAATTGGAATTTTGATTAAATGCTTTAAAGATTCAAATGTATCATCTGAAGGTGAACCTGAACGGTTGATATAAATTAACACATGTGAATGAGGGGAAGTGTTAGCAATAATGATAATTTGTTTTAATATCGTTAATGTTTTACCTTTATTTTGTTTACCAATTGCTGCAGTGATTGAATTTAAGTAACATTCAGAATATGGAATTTTCATTAATTTTTCCTTAGATAGAGCATTTCTATTATCACTCAATGCTTCATTAATCATATCATCTACGTATGTATTATATACTCCTGCTAATTCTTCATAAGGGGTGGATGAATTTAAATCCATTTAATCAAAAATAAATTTATAATTTTAAACATTTCTATTCATCAATATTTCATCATATGAACTTCTATACTGCGGTGGTGTACCTGTTGGATGATATTTCAAACCTTCATCCGGTGTCCATGTCCAATATGTAGTCCTAGTAAACCAAACCTGAGGAGGATTTGTCACCTTTGAACAGTAAGTGTCATTTTCACCCTGAATGATTGGATAAGCTTTCACTTGTACTGTAACTTGTGAGTTGAAAGTTTCTAATCCATCAAAGAATATACCCGCTCCATCACGTTGAACTGGAATAGTGCATAAGAATGAAGCTTGGTCTTTCCATGTTCTAGCTAATGGCGTGCCATTATCATCATTCAGTGGTCTAGTTAATGAGTCCTCGTATTCTTCTGTGCATTCATTCACTCCATCTAAATCAGAAGCTTGAAGCATACGTGTAAAGAATATGTCGCCCACTGTGGTCATCGCTTGATCGGGGAAGTTTCTGGAATCTATAGTGACCTGAAGACCTCGAAGCATTGGATTTTCTAAAACCGTTCTTTGCATTGCATTCTTCGGAAATGTTAACACAACATCTGTAACATTATGAAGAGCGTATGAGAAATCTGAGCTAATACCTTCAGGAGTGATGCAACCTCCATTTAGTGAACGAACGTCAATATGTTGAGCTGGAATCATGAATGGATCTTCCTTACTAAATAAACGTGGTATTGCTTTAACTGATTCTTCAATTAAACCGTATCCTGGTGTAATGCATTTATCCTCTAAAACTTCCATCTTTGTGCATGAAATAATAACGTCATCAACTGTTGCGTCAGCAGATGTAGCGGCTAAGATTGTAATTAATTTGGCAGGAAGTCCGATTTGTTGGAATTTGCGATCATATTTATAAACATGATTCATAATCTTTTCATAATTTTCATCAGTTATCTTTTCATAAACGTAATTTTGTAAATCAGCAACTCTTAACGGGTCAACCTGACAAAATACTAAAGTATCCTTGAAAACATAATATTTAAGAATGATATCACCAAATGATTTAGGATAATCATCGAATGCCTGAAATGCTAACAAATCATTTACCGGAATAATCATATCAAAAGTGACATCAACTTCTTCATTTGCTTTCTTGAAAACTTCCGAAGGGTCAATATATTTACCACATACTGAGTTATCATATTTTTGAACATTATTATATAACGAATGAACAAACTTTTTAACTTTCCTTTCTGATTTTGGTTTATATGTTGCAAATGCGAAAGATTCACGGGCGCAATCCATTTGAAGATAACCGGCATCACCTCTTTCGGTTTCTACTTCTAATTGTTTAAAGCTTTGATTTGATGATTTGTAACCAACGAATAAACGCATGCATTTAAAAGCGGCATCACATGTGAAAGCTTTATTTGAAACTAGAGTTGCTTTAACTTTGCGTTTAATATATGTGTCACCTAATTGGTTCACATCATGAGCTGGATTTGTAATTCTTAAATGAGTTTGTTTATCATCAAAATATGGAGCATCAGAGTCATAGCATGAACTTTCAAGTTCTCTATAATATCTTCTACCATCATTCTTTGCGAATATTTCATTTATCTTTTCGAATGAATGAAATACATTTCCATTAATCGGTTTAGTGTTTGGCACCAAATAGTTAGTCGTCATTTATTATTAAATAAAAAATCAAAATTAAAAGATGAAAATGAATTTTTAATTTTAATAAAATAATCAACTATGGCTGCAGGTATATTTAAGAAACTGTGGGATAAAGTAAAAAGAGGAGCGCATAAAGTTTGGGAAACAATGAAGAAAGGAGCAAATTGGATATTTAAGAATAAAGAAGCAATTAGTGATGTTGCTGAATCAATAACACCAAAAGCCGCCCCAATAAGAGAAATATTAAATAAAGGAGAAAAAGTTTATCAAAGACTACAACCGATACTAAGATAAAAATAATATTTATTTATTTATTTTTCCACTATCTACCTCCTATTTTATTAAGTATTCCTTCAGCAATTCCACCAATTGCGTTACCTGCTTGTGCTCCCATCGCTGGATTACCTGCTTTAGTACCTAATACTCCACCTATGATAGTTCCTGCCGTTTTCGCTACTGGTGCCAAAAAGTTTGCAACGGGTTTAATAATATTTTTATGAACCCAACCTGCAGCTTTCTTAATTCCATCCCATAATTTTTTAAAGAATCCTGCCGCCATTTCTGATTTAATATTAATTAAAAAATATATTTCATCACTTATATTCTAATTTTTATTTAATGATAAATGAAACCGATTTTAAAAATAAATGAAACAGAGGAGGAAGAAATAAATGAAAGTGAAAATGTTCAACAAAAAATAAACGTTGTTAAACCAATTACTGAAATAAAAATTTTTTCATCTGTTGAAGAATTTAATGACTATTATGCTAATAATAAAAAATTATTTGAAGAATTGACAACATGTAAATTGAATAAAATGTTTAAAGTTGATGGATTCAAAATTTCAAAAATAAAAGGAGTGGTTAGTTTGAAATCTATTCCTCAATCAAGAATCACCTCATTAATGAAAATAGATGATTTAACAAAAAGAATAGAAGAGATTGAAGAAAGAATGAATCAAATAATTGATATCATAAATTCAAATAATCATTAATTTCAATTTATTTTTCTCATTTATTTTACTCATTTATGACTCCATTGATTCCATTCAGGATTTAAACAATGTTTAATTTATCACGGAATATCTGACATCATCTATATATAACTTCTTTTATAAAAGATGAAATAAATTATTTTAAAATTAAAGTTTATTTTTTTTAATGATTTATTTCGTTATGTATGGGCTGAGTGTAAATGTCTTACAATTTTGAAAATTTTTTAAATCTTAATTTATTCAAAAACGTAAGAATAAAAACCGTAAGAATCATACATTTTTTAATTAATATGTTAAAAAAAATGATACAAAATCGTTCAATATTGTATGAATTCTTACGTTTACAAAAAAAGTCACACAACCCTTCAACATATACTACTAATTTCGAAATTCTTTTATTGATCACGTTATAGCAAATTATATGAATTAGAAGGTTACTTAAACTAAAATTGTAAGAATGGTATTTCTTTGAGATTCATTGCTCATTATTTGATTCGTTTCATTTTCTCCGCCATTGTTTGAATCTTTTTAATCAAAAAAAGTAGTGGAAACTTGTAATGTTAGATCAAAACGAGTGCATACAGGTGAAAATATTGTACTCTGTTTGTTCTTATGTGAAAAAATTTTATAAAAGATCGAATATCAAGCTCGGAATAGCAGAATTTCTATTAGAATACTATTCTAGTATGTCAGATATCATCAAATTGAAATCGATATAACTCTCAATTTCGCGAGTGATCACTTGATTAAGAAATACACAACAATTAATAAACGATAATTTTAATATACAAACAAACAATAATAATGACTTATAACTTATGTATTCTAGCATTCGGAGATACCCTTGGAAGAATAAACTTATTTTGTGGAACTCTTGATTTTGTGAAAAGCGGAGTATTATTTCTTGGGACCAAACGTGGTAAGGAAGAGTTTATAAGCCCAGTTAGTGGCTTACTTTGTGAATTTGCTTTGTTAATTACAGTCTTCTTGTTGTTATAGGCGTCAATGATTTTAAGAAGATCTGAAACAGATGCACGATCCTTGGCTTCAAATACGAGACAATTTTTGATAACCGAGCCAATAATACCGCGTGTTTCAACAAAAAGCTGAAGTCTGTTGTGCTCTATGTCTTTTAGATGCTGCTGTGAAGTTCTCTCATCCCATGGATAATGTCCGGTTGACATCAAATGTAATGTAACACCAAGTGCCCAAATGTCAGACTTCATTCCATCATATGTTGATGTATTGCCTATTTCTGGACTCATGTATAATGGCGTTCCGCAGTAAGCATGAGATTCTTTGCTATTTTCCATTGAAAGGCCGAAGTCAATTAATTTTGGATTCATTTCAGCATCGAACAAAATGTTTTCTGGTTTAATATCATGATGTGCTATGCCTCTTTGATGAAGATATTGAAGTCCTTCGAGGATTTGTTGAGTAATTCTAACTTGCTCTTCTACAGTAAAATGAATTCCACGGTTCAGTAATGATTGGAGATCCCCATTTTTAAGGTAGTCCATAATGATCATTATAATATCCTTTTTGTATATAATATCATGAACCTTAATAATGTTTGGATGATTAAAGCGGATGCACAAGCGAAGCTCGCTTTCCAAAAATGAAACAATATCTTGCTTGGTAGTTTGTTCTCTGTCAATAATTTTGATTGCTACTTTCTGAAGAGTTTTGGGATCGTAAGCCAAAACAACTACAGCAAAGCCACCACGTCCAATGATTTTAGTTACATGATAGTTACCTATGATTGGTGGAATACGTATTCCACATGATGGAAGCTCAAGAGAGTGCATTTTTGGTATTGAAAATAATAATAATAATAAAATTGTCTTCTGAAAAATTAGAAGTATTGAAAAATAGTTTTTAGATTACATTGATTGTAAATATGATAATGGTCATAATTTTGAAAATTTTTAAAAATCGATATCATTTGAAATTTTAGCGTAAATAAATGATTTATATAAGGACTGTTAACTGAGCTTTTTTAACACATTTTTTCATTTCTATATCATTTATAAAAACACATTCAAAACATGATTGAATAATGCTGACGATTATTTTTGAGTCAATATTTCAAATATTTTGACAAGATGATATTTACACTTTAGTTAAATATGATTAGTTACATTAATGTGGGCAAAATTTATTTTAAAAATTTATATAATCGAATAACATTGTTATAGACTGAAAATAGATTTTTTCGGTTTTCTCTTCAAATAATTGAAAGAATGATACTATTATAGGTTTATTATATTATATAGCATATAATCATGCTATAGCCGAAAATTATAAGTTTTGAGAAGATTGAATATAACACAAATAAATTTGAATGTAAGTTAAATTGCTTGTTGTTTTTAATAGCTATTTAATGAGAAATCCAATATTGCAAAATTCAAATTGAATGATTGAAAGAACAGAAAAAGTCATTCTTTTCAATTTCGAATATGTTTTATTGTATTTATAATTATATGGCAAATAAGATATTTAAACTTGATTTTTGAAGGAAAAATCACAAAATTGAATAAATTCAAATAATTTTTATTCAAAAATAAACTAATTATTTGAGTTTAATACTAATTATCTATTCAAACTACAAAGTTTGTAATTTAAAATATTTTGTGAGATCAGATTGAATTAATTCAAGGTTCTTTTCAATTAATATTAATGACCATATTACGCATTTTCGAACATTCTAAACCAAATATATAAAAATGGGAGACGAATGTTAAATTTGCTAGACATGGGGGAGTTGTCTGCAAAGTTTTAGCTCTTATCTCTAACAAAAAATTAATTTTTAAAAAAATGACCGAATACGTTTCACAGCGAGAAAAAATAAAAGGCAAGATAGAATTTTCTAGACATAAAGAAGTTGTTTACCGAGTTTTAGCTCTTATCTCTAACAAAAAATTAATTTTAAAAAAAAAGACCGAATACGTTTCACAGCGAGAAAAAAATAAAAGGCAAGATAGAATTTTCTAGACATAAAGAAGTTGTCTACCAAGTGTCAGCTGTTACTTCTTCTCAATACTGATATAAAATAAAAATCTTTATTATTTATTTTGTTATATACGAAAACGATAAAAACAGTTTGACAGAAAAGTGACAACTTTACGTGTCAAAAATATAAAAAGTGATATTTTATTCATCATTATCTTCTTCATAATTTATTTCATATTCTTCGTCTTACCAACAAAAGATGGGAATGTGAACAATTGCGGGCAATTTTTAGCCATTTTGGCTTGGAACTAGAGCCTGCGAGGTACATGGATAGTATCAGTACCTCACAGGCTCTAGTTCTCTATATGGCGCCGAGAAATTTTGGTGAAATGTGGTCGCATTTCACCAAAATTTTTTCGGCGCCATAGGATGAATTGGAGGGTGAGAGATATTATTTCATACAATACTACTCTCACCCTCCAATTCCCAGCCAAAATGGCTAAAAATTGCCCGCAATGTGAACAATTGCGGGCAATTTTTAGCCATTTTGGCTTGGAACTAGAGCCTGCGAGGTACATGGATAGTATCAGTACCTCACAGGCTCTAGTTCTCTATATGGCGCCGAGAAATTTTGGTGAAATGTGGTCGCATTTCACCAAAATTTTTTCGGCGCCATAGGATGAATTGGAGGGTGAGAGATATTATTTCATACAATACTACTCTCACCCTCCAATTCCCAGCCAAAATGGCTAAAAATTGCCCGCAATGTGAACAATTGCGGGCAATTTTTAGCCATTTTGGCTTGGAACTAGAGCCTGCGAGGTACATGGATAGTATCAGTACCTCACAGGCTCTAGTTCTCTATATGGCGCCGAGAAATTTTGGTGAAATGTGGTCGCATTTCACCAAAATTTTTTCGGCGCCATAGGATGAATTGGAGGGTGAGAGATATTATTTCATACAATACTACTCTCACCCTCCAATTCCCAGCCAAAATGGCTAAAAATTGCCCGCAATGTGAACAATTGCGGGCAATTTTTAGCCATTTTGGCTTGGAACTAGAGCCTGCGAGGTACATGGATAGTATCAGTACCTCACAGGCTCTAGTTCTCTATATGGCGCCGAGAAATTTTGGTGAAATGTGGTCGCATTTCACCAAAATTTTTTCGGCGCCATAGGATGAATTGGAGGGTGAGAGATATTATTTCATACAATACTACTCTCACCCTCAATTTTAATTACTTAAACTCATTCTATTTTTTTGACATGTAAATGTCACTTTTACTGAGATCTGACACAATGTCAGATCTCTTTTTTTCGTATATAAGAATTTAACCTTTATTGTTTCATTAAACTTCATTTATTTTATATTATAGTTTTATTCTTTTAGCTACTTGTAAAATAATCTAATTTTATATCATCATTTTACCGGATTATTCTTCAGTGCATCGATTGTGTATCTAAAATAATATCATTATCCTTATTCTGTTTTTTCCAAAATTCTTTTAAATATCTTTTTTGGTTAGATTACTTTATACTTTTTACTTTTATTTTTTAATTTCAAAAAAAAAAATTTGGTGATTGTTCTATTCTGTTACAATGTGCATTATCATATTCTAATGAATTATTCATTACATACATTTAAAAAAACTTGTTAAAAATGAAATTAAAAAATTATGTTTATTATTACGCTGTGAATGTGTCAACAGCGGTCATGCCTGTATCTGTATCCCATATTTGCCACAACCTTTCTGTATCTGCATTTGTGTATTTCGGTTTCAGCTGATACATTTGATTTGGCGTGTAATTTGTTCCAGTTAATGGATTAATTGGGAGATCTTCATGCGGTGTGTTATTATTGTACTCCCAAATAAAGGCAGGAATAGCCTAAATGCTTTGGCAGCGCTCCAATGTCGGCCAGAATCTCTCAATCTTCCCATTTTGGTAGGGAGAATGAGAGTCTGTATGCCGCCATTGGACGCCCCAAAGATCAAGTAGATCTTGAAAGGCGCCCCTATTTTCGGAACCGTTGTCGGTCCAGAAACAATAAGGGGCGCCAAATTCAATGAAGGCGGAAGCCGCAACGTTCGCTGTCGTCGCTGCCAGCATATCTGGTATTTGTATACACGCTAGGACTTTGCGGCTAAAATCGTCGATTATGCCATAAATATACTGGCCACGAACACCCCTAAAATAATGAACATCTGCGTGCCAGATAAGATTGGGTGAAAGCGCCCAATATCTTACTGCTGTTTCTGGCCCGGCATGCTCTAATCGCGTCTTGGTGAAATGATTTTCTTTGAAGTATCTGCGTACTTCTCTATAAGATACATCAATTTGTTGTAATTTCAAACGTTAGTTAGTATGGGTTAGTTGGGTATGGTGGCACTGCGCACCTACTTACCCATGATATGTGAATTTGACACTTTACAAAACCGTTAACGTATATTTTACAACACAAACGACAACACTAACTTAACCTTAAATATTTACAAAGCCGCCAACCACTTCACCTCACTAACGACTTCGCTAACGAACTCACTAATGAAAAAAATAAACGTTCTCATAAATTTTCTTCTATATCTTCATCGTCAATGTTAACTCTATTGTAGTCATACTTGAAGTCATAAAGTTTCTCAAGTTTTGAAATGCATAGTCTTGTTAACTTACCTTCATCATCATAAGTTTTTATAAAACTACCATGACAATCTTTATACACAGTCAATGTATAATCTACTGGTCTAGGATGAAGTGTAAAGAACATGTTATACTCAGGAAGGAAGAATAAATGTTTAAATGTATGTTTGTTATATTTTTCGATTTGTATGAGTTGCTTTTGTTCTGTCATTTATATAAAAATAAAATAAAAAATAAACTTAAAAATTAATGATATCACCACCCTCACACGTATGAAAACATAGCACAAAAATAAATTTAGGTGAAGTGGTGAGATCTCACCTCTTTTTTCACCTGTTTTTTCACCCTGTTGAATTCATTGCTTTATAACTCTCTTCCTTGGTTTCTTTTTAGTTGCTTTCTTCACGTCTGTCTCCAACTTGACTGTCTTTCTTCTTCGTCCGTAATGATACCAGTTACTTCCACCAGTCAATGGGTCAAATGGTCTTTCGTAAGGGTTTCCATACATTCCATAGGGACCATACGGAAGAACTACTGGTGGAGAAGAAACATTTTCTTTAGTTCCATCGACTCTATTTAAATGCATTGTTTCACCTTTCATCTGGTCATTAAAGTCTTTTGCGTGTTTTGCAAACTCATCGTCCTTTCCTAAAGCATTTTCTGACTCAGTCGCAACCAAATTGGATGCTTTATTTATGAGCCCTATTTTATTTAATCTTAACTTCTTTGCAACCCAGCCTCCAATCTTCCCTTTATTTGCATCTAATGTCTTCGAAACCCTTCCTCCACTCATTTTATTTACTGCGTCATAAGCTCCAAGTGCTTTTGCTCCAAATGCTAATGCTTTTGTTCCCATTGCGCCTAAAGCTGCCCAAGCTACCATTTACACCATATTAAAATCATCTCTCTTCAATATTATCTCATAAAAGTTCTCGTTACTGGAGAAAGTCAATGAAACATAAGCGTTCTCACGGGCTTCGCCCTCACCGCTTTGCGGTCTATCTAACTTCTTTCTTATATCATCTATACGCTTCAAAATGTCTGAACAATTGCTAACATCTTCTACAACAGTTATTTCATCATGAATGACCTTCAAGAACAAGCTCATTTAATATGCAATTAAAATCATCTCAATAATGAGTCCATCCTTTCCGTCTTTAGGTAGCACAACATCTTTCATTGAAGAAGGTTCGACAAGTCTTATGTTAAACTTACTGAC